CGTCGTCGGGCGTGTCTTGTTGGTGGTCTCCCCCCGCGTCCGACTTGGACTCGTACGAGGTGGAGTGCCGTCGCCACGAGGACGGCGAGCTGGCGTCGGCTCTGCGTCTGGAGGCCGGGGTCACCGCCGTCACCCTGGACCGATTGGAGGCGTTCCGGAAGTACGCCGTCACCGTCAGGGCGGCGTCGCACGGACGCACGAGCGCGCCGACCACGTGCGCGGCCGTCACCATGATCGACCGTGAGTATACGCGCGCGCTGCGGCGCCAAGGTGGAGGCCCTTGACGGCTTGTCCCGCAGGTCCCCCGGCCCCGCCCCCCAGAGTCGCCGTGAGCGCGGCGAAGGTGACGTCTTCGTCCATCTTGTTTCGCTTCAACTGCTCGTGGTTCAGCGACGTCAACGGCGCCGTCAGATACTTTGCCGTCATCGTGGCCCAGTCGGACGGTACTCGCTTTGCGTCGGACGAGGCTCGCCGTTCGCTCGAGGTCCCCCTTCTCAGCGGATGCTTGTGTTGGGAAACAGCCGAGGACGTTCTGCGGCCCGAGCGGCGCCACCCGCTGCCCTCCTACCGCCGCTACGTCAGCAACGCCTCCGTCAGGGCCTACCAGAGCGCCTACTTCGTCAACAGATGCCCACAAGACGCCAGCGCGGCAGCCGGCCAGGTGAGGCGCGCGCGCGCGCGCGCGCGCACACGCGCACGGCAGAGCTGACTGACGAATTCCTTTTCTCAGTCGGTGGAGGTCAACTTGGGGGCAGGAGGCGACCGGCTGGGTGGGGCCTGTGACCGTTACCGCGACACCTCCTACTTGACTGACAGCTACGGAGACTTCTGCGACGGCCCACTCAAGCAGAGAACTTCTTACAGGTCACCACCGGGGGGCGCATGTTCTTGACACGACAACACGCTCGCCATCTTTTGACCGTGCGCGCGCACGTGTGCAGGCTTAGCGTACGAGCATTCACGCGACTTTTTGACGAAAACGGCAAAGAGGTTCCCGGGCCGCTGTTTAGCGACACCTACCTGTCCGCGCCACTCCGGACAAACGCAGGTAAGGCGCGCCGACGCGAGCGCGCGCCTCGCCGTCGCGTGACATGTGGGGCGTGCGCCGTTGCTGTCAGAGCCTCTAGGGGGCGCGGTGGAGGGGCTGAGCGCCGGCACGTTCCTGTTGGGTGTGACGGTGGCCGCGGTGTCTCTGCTGCTGTACCGCCAGCGAGTGAGGAAAGTGTACGTCGGGTGACGAGCGGGGCCGCCGCCGCCGCATGGGCTTCCCTTTGCCACGAGGAAGCGTTTTTCACCGCGCCGGCCTCGCATGTGTTTGTTTGTCGACTCGCAGCAGGGCGGCGCAGGAGAAGCCCGCCATGAGGATGAATCTGTGGAAGGAGGTGCCTTGCGGCGGGCCGTACGTGGGGCTAAGGAGGTCAGTGTTTGCGTCTTTGGGCCTCTGTGTGCGCGCCTCGCGCTCACTCGTGTGCTTTTTGCCCCTGACAGTGCTCGCCGCCTCAGCAGGTGAGTGCGATCGCAACTTGTTGCGCTTTGGCCTCCGAGGTGACACCTTTTGACATGCGCGCGTGCAGTCCGGTGAAAGCCGCTCACTTTGAGTCTCACGTGCTGAAGCTCCGAGCCGACGCCGGCGTTCTGATGTCTGAGGAGT